CCTGGTGTACACCCTTCCCAATTTTGAACCATGCAGTGTTACCCTGCTCTGTTCTGACGACTGCCTCCCGGTCCAAGTATAGGTTTCACGTTAGCACGATTAAATGTTCTGGGATTCCCATTCTTCTCAGAGTCAGCCACAGTTGTTATGATCCACACAGTCAAAGGCCTTTGCATAATCAATGAAACACAGATATACATTCTTCTGGTATTCCCTGCTTTCAGCTAAGATCCATCTAACATCAGCTACAATATTCCTAGTGCCACGACCCCTTCTAAAACCAAGCCTGGACTTCTGGCAGTTCTCTGCTGGTGTGCTGTTCCATAGATACTAGAAATATTTTAAACAGTCTTATTTACATAACTTTTCCTAACAATGTCAACAAGAAAGAATAAGTGATATGCTAAATAATAATTTCAAAGAGTATTGTGGCCCTGTGTCAATTTATTGTAAGAAAGCACAATTCTTATATATTATAGAAGTAATGGTATTTTTTTATAATGAATTCTTCATTCCAAATGATAACCTAAGCACAAGGACATTCTCACTGATTTTCAATGTCAACAGAAAACTGCCAGATGTGCAGGCTGGATTTAGAAGACATGTGGTACTAGGGATATTATAGCTAATGTCAGATGGATCTTGGCAGAAAGCATAGAGTACCACAGGAATGTCTACCTGTGCTTCATTGACTATGCAAAGGCTTCTGACTATGTGGATCACAAAAAGGTATGGATGACTCTGAATGGGAATCCTAGAACATTTGATTGTGTTTATGTGAAACTTATACTTGGACCAAGAGGCAGTCATCAGAACAGAGCAAGGAGACACTACATGGTTCAAAATCAAGAAGTGTGTTCATCAGGGATGTATTCTGTCTCCATACCTATTCAATCTGTATGCAGAGCAGATCATACGAGATGCTGGGCTGTACGAGGAGGAATGTGGCATCAGGATTGGTCGAAGAGTCATCAACAACCTGCATTATGCATATGACACAACCCTACTCGCTGAAACTGAGGAGGACCTGAAGCACTTGCTGCAGAAGATCAAGGACTGCAGCCTTCAATACAGATTGAAGCTCAACATCAAGAAAACAAGATTCTCACCACTGGGCCAAATGGTAGCATCAGTATGGATGCTGAAGAGACTGAGATAGTTAACAGTTTTAGTTTTCATGGCTCCACAGTCAACACTCTTGGTAACAGCAACCAAGAAATCAAGAGACTGGGAATTGCAGTGGGAAAGTCAGCTGTCAGGGATCTCTCAAAAATGCTAAAGAGCAATAACATCAGGCTGGAGACTAAGGTGAGCCTGATCCGGGCTATAGTCTTTGCAACTACGTGCTATGCATTAGAGAGTTGGACAGTGACGGGGGATGATAGAAAGAGAATTGATGCCTTTGACTTGTGGTGCTGGAGAAGAGTGTAGAGTACACCATGAACTGTTAGGTTTGTCTTGAAGAAAGTGAAGCCAGAATGCACCTTGAAATCAAAGATTCTGAAGCTTCATCTGACATACTTTATAAGAAGGGACTGGTCCTTGGAGAGGGACACCATGTTTGGGAGAGTGGAGGGACGGCACAGGATAGGAAGACCCTCAATGAGATGGATTGATTCTGTGATTGTGGTGGTAGGAGTGAGTGTGTCGGAGACAGTGAGGTTGGCACAGGATAGAGCATCGGTTAGGGCCTCTCATACACTGGGTCGCTATGAGTTGCAAGAGACTCGACGGCACGTAACAACAACAACAATGGTCTTTCAGGCAACTATAAATTTTTACAACTTTTAGTTACTGCTCCAACAGTAAATATGTGAGTGGCTCTCTATTTCTATAATATGTTGTTGTTAAGTGCTGTAGAGTCATAGAATACTTGTAGTGGCCCTATGAAAGAAAGTCTTTTTTTTTTTTTTAAATTTTTGTGTGCGTGTACCGTCAAATCAGATCTGACTGGTACAGGAGGAGATTGCCCCTCCTTCCCCGGCAGAGCATCTGGTGTGAAAGAAAGTCTTGAACACAAAACTTTCATTTTTTCTCCAAGTTCATAGAGTTTCCAGAGGTCAGATTTTCAGGAAGTAGATGCCACTACTGCTTATTTCTATAATATACACACTATAAAAGATTAAAATTTAGGGGAGGATGATAGCACAGAATATAGCAGCTATTTTTAAATGTACTCAATTGTATTCCTTATCTGGTAGTTGTAGCCATCTGGATATTCAGTAAGTCTGTAATTTTAATTTTTTCAGAGTGTTTTGACACAAGGACATAAGATAATGAGATTATCATCAAACTCAATCATATTCTAAAATCCCAAAGAGATTCCACAAGACACCTCTAAGAGTTGCCTGAGAATAAGAGACCAAGAAATGAGATTTTTGTTAATAGTACAGAAGTGATAGAAAACTTTTAAAAAACATTTTAATTTTGTGTGTGTGTGTACCACCAATCGTATCTGACTGGCACAGGAGGTGAAAGCCCCTCCTTCTCCAGCAGAGCACCTTGTGGGCTTAATCCATGTACCTCTGGGATTGCAGTGCACCTTTTTTGCCACTAGGCCACCAGAGCTCCCCACAGAAAACTTTTCTAATAATTGCTGAACTGCTATAGATTTTCCTGAGTATACATTCATTATAATACAAAAAGAATCATAACACAATTGAATGTATATATAAATAAATATGTAACTGAGCTTGTATTATGACAATAATACATAATTTGATTAATTTTCCAATTATATAAAAAACTTATTAGAATTCTTAGAATTCAACCTGACACTCTCACTCTAGGCTTTTATAGAACTATTAAAATACTTCTACTATAATGTAGTTAAATTTCTTCTGACTACAAATTTTACAGAAAGACTGGACTATAAAATTTATTTTAAAGTTAAAAATGACAAAATCATGAAATCTTACATTATAAGCATGAATTGATTTTCATAATTAAAATAATTAAAACTATTTTATTAAAAATACATAAAAATTAAATTATTAATAAATAAAAAATTCATATGGAGATATATGGAAGAAAAAATTTAAGATTAAAATAAAGTTTTTAACTAAAATAAACTGAATTAACATCTACTCTCTGAATTACTTTAAAAAGACATTTAGATGACTTTAAAAACCCTAAAGATGTTCCACAGTCTCTGGATAATCTACTCCAATGATCTCTGCAGCCTCGGAAATCTAATAGAGGGGCAGTTATGAGTCATTTCTAATTCAAAAGCACTAAGTGAGTGTGTAGAGTTAGAGAAACCCTATTACTACACACTCATAAAAGATTAAAACTTAGGAAGAGATTAAAATTTAAAATGATAGCACAGAATGGAGTAGCTATTTTTGAATGTACTCAAACACACTGCCATTGAGTTGGAATCAACTCGAAGCTTCAGTGGGTTTTTCCAAGGCTGTAAATAGCATAGAAGGCAACTGACTCTCTTTCTCCTGTGTGGATTCAAATCTCCAGAGGCCTACTTTTGAGTGAGAAGCACAAATCCTATGGATTACATCACCAGAGATGAGAGGGAAAAGAAACAATTTTATTTTTTTTTGAAAAAAGGAATTGATTGAAATTTGTATAAATATTTATGAAGTTTATTAAACACTTATTAAATTGTTTTCTCTCCTGATATTTTCTACAGGGAGTCCTGCTAGCCTAGCCCACAGAGTGCTACGTTGCTGCTAACCCAAAGGTTCTCTGGCAGTTCAAATCCTCCAGTGGCTGTTCAGGAGATGGACAGGATCTCTTCCCTTGTAATTTACAACCTCTGAAAACCTACTGAGGGTCAGCAATGAATCACATCCAACTCAAAAGTAATAAGTGATGAGTGAACTATTTTCTACAAGTACAAGGTAAATTATTACAAATTTAAAGTTATGTTTATTTCACCAATGAATCAGAAAGTATGTTCTAAGAAGCAACTATGTATATGGTGTCATATTTACTGAGAGGAATTACTCATTTAGAAGAAGGCATAGATATGCTGAAGAAAAGATAAAACAGATAAGGATGAAGAAAGACATCCATGTAACTAAACTAAGTAAAAAGGAGGCAAAAACCAGTAAAAGGGAAAAGATTAAGACTGTCCTGTTATTTCATAAATAAATAAAAATTATTGCCCTTACTATAGGAAAATCAAGTTTAACATATATTACAAATAACACTATTTTTCTAATCTGCCATGACTTGCTTAAGTATTATTGCATATACTTGCAAAAATGCACAAAGGCAAAATATTCACATGTCTCCTGGTCTTTTTAGACCTTGTTAATCTTGGATTTGGGTTAAATTAAGGCGTAGGATTATGGGTACAGTTCAGCAATAAGCTTTTCATTAGGGTATGAAATCATGCCATGAGTTCCAAAAAAATAGGGTTAGTTGTATCAATTTGGGAAATAATCACTCATGCAAAAATCGGAAAATACCTGTACCGAGCCACCATGTCTGTCTGCTGCAAGGTGAGCTCTCAAATGGTGGGGATTTGCCTGCTGGGAGTCCCAAGCTGCCCTGTGGTCTGCCGACTGCCATTTATTTAATGCATATGGCATGCATGGAAGGAGAAAAACCCAAAACGTTAAAACATCTCATTCTTATAAAATATTAAAACAAGCGTATAAAAGGAAATTAACAAACCCATATTGATGTGGAGAGACTTCAGTAAAATCATTACTAACTACACGTGATAAGCAACAATAAAAACAAAACAGAACCACAGAATTATAGATGTAAAGGGACTTTAGAGATCACAGACTCCACCTTCAATTTTCGAAATGAAGTCGACAAAGAATGTGAGGTAAGACAGAGGTCCAAGTAATGATATGTAGCCTAAAAAGCCATTTATTTTATTTGTTCTGAGGAGGATCTATTTTTAACAAGATAAAAAAGACATTGCCCTTAAAGAGTTTACTCAGAAACGTGGTGGAGGTGTGAATTCTTACTTAGTATCCAGTTTCTTATTGAGAGTATTATGTGGAGAAACAAAGTTCTTTTGAAGAGAGAAAAGACACAAATATTAT